AAGTGAACTTTAACGAACAGGCCAGGGACTGCAATGATCCTTAGGCATGGGATCACCCTGCTGCCACCAGGTCGAGTCTCTTTGACACATAGGCCACAGGCCTATTCCAAGGTCCTAGCCTTTGAGTCAGGACACTTCAGCTAGGTTTTTTCTTTCATCTACATAGAGATGGAAAGGTTTGGTTATATCAGGCAATCCAAGTGCAGGTGCCAAAAGGAGGGCATTTTTTATCTTATTGAAAGCCTGTTCATCGGCCTCAGTCTATTGAAAGGGATGGCTTTTTTTGTTGCTTCATACAGTGGTTTAGCCATTTCAGCAAAACTGGGGATCCAGAGACAGCAGAAGCTGGCTGACCTGAGGAATTCTCTAACCTCCCTTCTGGAAGTAGGGGCAGGTAGGGGAGGTGTTTTGAGCACAGTCTCCTTGTGGGCTTCAAAGAGCCAATGCTGACCCCCTTCAAGGACATATCCCGGATACGTCACTTTTGCTGGGCAGATCTGGGACTTTTAGCTGATGCTTGATCCCCAGACTTCCCAAGGCAGTAAGCAAATTGTCAGTGATTACCTTACAATCTTCTTCATTGTCAGCTGCTATCAGAGGATCATCCACATACTGCAGGAGAGTGACCTGTGGATGCCCCCTCCAGTATTCCCTGAGGTTCTCATCAAAGATGGTTGGGAGTTCCTGAACCCTTGGGGCAGCCTGGTCCAAGTCAGTTGTCCATTGTATCCCTTCCCAGGGTCGTGCAACAAGGACTGGCTCTTTGCACTAAGGGCAGGCTGAAGAAAGCATCTTTAAGGTCAAGTACTGTTTACCAGGCCCGTGTGGGAGGAAGTGAGTTCAAGGGTGTATGGATTCAGAACAGTGTGGTGGACATCCATAACCCTGAGTTTGACCTCCCCAAGATCCTGAACAGGCTGATAATCACTTGAGTTTGTCTTTTTAATGGGGTGCAGGGGAGTATTCCAGGCTGACTGGCAAGGAACCAGAATTCCTAGTTCCATGAAGTGCCCGATGTGAGGGGTGATTTCCCCCTCTCCTTCGGCTCCTTGGACATGGGGTGTTGCCGCACCTTGGTGGTGGTGGCATGGGTCTTCAGCTCAGTTAGCATTGGGGCTCAATATTTTGCCAAGCCCATCCCCGCTCCCCAGTCTCTGTGAATGCCTCTGGATAATTGACTAGCCATGTGGTCATGTCCTGAGGGGCAGGTGGCAGATCCTGATGTAATCTATATTTGTCCTCAAGCTGAAGGGTGAGGATTTCAGTTGTCTGTCCCTTCTGATTTCTAACTGAGACTCCATTCTTATTGAAAGTGATCTGAGCTTCAACTTTAGTAAGTCTCTTCTTAAAAAGAGACAAGGGCAGTTAGCTATGACCAGAAATGAGTGGAGTACCCAGCCCATTCTGAGATCCACTGTTATTGAGGTAGTCCATGAATATTGTCTCATACCTGTGGCTCCCTGGACTGCAGACTTTTCCTGAGAAAGATTTCCTTGGGGTTTGATTGAGACCGAATGTTGAGCTCCAGGAGCTACTATGGAATCTGTAAGTTTCCCATCCACTCTGAGTGTTACCCTGGGCCCGGGAAGGGGATCCAAACCACGACTCCCCTTATCACTGAAGTTGCCTGATTCTGCAACCAGTACACACCCCGGATCATAATCCTTGCACTTGGAGTTTTCAGGGCATTCTTTAGCCCAGTGTCTCACTTCCTTGAAAAGCACACTGGTGTTTTGGCACCCTTTGATACTCACTTCAGTGGGGGTCTTTATCTTGGCTTCTGGTGAGATTTCTCAATTGGCACCTTCCTTTCATGTGGATCTCCTGCATGCAGTGGCTGTTAGGAGGAGTCTCACCATATTTTGAGTCTGCTTTGACTTCTCTGCCGCCATAACCATCATCTGTCTCTCTTCCAGGCTTTCTCGGTTGTTGTACACTTTCCAAGCTACAGGTCACAGCTCCTGGATACTCTTTTCTGCCAGCCAATCTATCTTTTGTAATTTGTGTCTAATGTCATGTGTGGCCTGATTAACAAAGGCTATGACCATGGCTGATCTATTTTCCTGGGCCTCAGTATCCATAGGGGAGTCTGCCTAAAGGCCTCCATAATCCAATCTAAGAAGGCTGATAGAGACTCTGTCTTTTTCCATTGTATACTACTGATTTTGCCCAAATTGGTAGGCCAATGCTCGGCTACACAGAGCCCCCTCCTTAGAACCTGGTGGTAGACCTCAAACCTCTCCTTAACTTTACTTACCGTGTGTCAAGTTGAAATTCCAATTAGGACGGGCTTGAGGGAAGCCTTGGGTCTATTAAGGCAGGGTTGACAATCAGTTTTCCATCAGGTCCCAGAACCAATTTCTGGGCTTCTGTCAGAATTCTTTTTTTCTTATATGGTAAACAGAATCTGTAAAAGCTGTTGACAGTAATTCCAAGTGGGCTGGTGAGTGACTATAACTGAATCTTGGAGATTAATAAGGGCCCATGGATTGTCTGAAAAACTGGAGTTTTGTTTTTTTCAGTTATAAACATCACTCATGGTGAAAACACAAAAGTAAACACATACCAGAGACACACAGAAAACATATCAGGCAGCTTCAGGCTCTAAGGACAGTGCTCCCTATCAGCTTGGGAGATCCCAGATGAGCCCCCAAATGTTCTGGCCAGTTCATGGGGACCCCCAAAAGTCCACCACAGAGACCAAATCCCTTATGTAAAAGCAAAGAGACTTTATTTTCAAGTTACAAGCTTGGTTTTTCTGTTTGTCTGATGCAGTGGTGAGAGCAGAGAGTCCCTGAGCCCAGGCATGGTAGAATTTTTTATCATAACTGAGGTTGGAGTGAGGGAATTTCCAGGTTACAGGATCCATGGGCTGACATTTGTCTAATGCTATGGGTGTGTGCTAGGCTCAAGGACTTCTGGCTATCATATCTGAAGGTTGGGATGTTTGGGATGTAAGGTACTTTCCCATCCCCCTGGCGTATCTCTGGGTGGATCCCTGTGTGGTGTCATCTCATGGCTTTCCTGGATCTGATTCTTGCCTGCCAGTAAGCCACTTACAAAAGCTCTGTGGGGGCCTCTAGGCCTATCATAAAAGCTGTGTGGTCAAGTTGCTTTGCACTCAGATTTAACTTGTTTTCTGATTTTACAAGATGTCACAGTCAAGCAATCACCTTGAGTGTCCAAAGAGACCTTGAACATTTGAAATGGTAGATGCTTTTGAAGACTATGAGGATCATTGAAGTTTTGATCATGGCATGACCATAAGCATATAGTGACCTGGGCCAGAATGTATTTCAGTCGACAGAATGAAAATCCTCTGAGATAGGATGATGTATTTGAATACTTGTCTCTCCTTGGTGGCTTTGTTTTGGGTGCTTGTGGAACATTTAGTAGGAGTCGTCTCTGGATGAAGTTCCACATTGGCGAAGGGATTTGAGTGTCTTTAGCCCATTTCCTATGCAGCTGTACCCTCAACTCCAGAAACAACCCCCTTGATGATCAAGCCACCAGACACACACCGCAGTATAATCACACAAACACCTTCCCAGCCAGCACAGATGGGCTTAAGCATAGGTACTAGTACAGCCCAATCACCTGAGCATTCCACTGCCCTTGTCTGAAGCTCATGTTCTTTGTGTCTGCCTGTCATGACTTCACCAAGATTATAGGTAGTATCACTAAATCCCATATGATACAATTGAAGCAATTGCTATTCAGTGCTAAGCCATTTTGTAACCTGAGGTTTTTTTTTTTTTAATCTTGGTGTTTATATTTGTTTTTGAAGATAAGATTTATCTGTGTGGCTCTGGCTATCCTGAAAGTAGCTCTGTAGACCAGGCTGGCCTAAACTCAGAGATCCAAATTATTCTGGCTGCTATGTCTTGTGATTAAATGTGGCCCATCATGCCTGGGTTTCTTTATACTATTGTCTGATGGGCCTGTAATGTATGTTTTTGTACAAGTCAAGCATATGCTGTTTTGCTGAACTTCAGCCAATCTTCAATTTTGAAATCTGGCAGAGTGTACTATTCCCTTCCCCAGGATGGCAGTAATCCTGACATTAAAACTACCTGAGCCTTCTGAGGCATTCTATTGCAGGTATGTGACATTCTTACTACCTATTGTATTTGTTTGGAATTCTTTTGAATGAATATACATCTTTTGCCTTGTGTGCCTGGTCCTCAGACTGATCAGAAAATAGTTTCACAACCCCTGAAGTTGTAATGACTAGTTGTAAGTCCTCATGTAAGTATTGGCAATGGAGCCCAACTGTCTGCAACAGTAGCAAGGGCTCTTAAATGATGAGCCATCTCTACTGTCCTATGTTGTGTATTTTGATCAATATTTACATTGCTAACATTTTCATCTGCTCATTTGTAACTTTAAACATGCATTCTCTTTTAGAAAAATCTTATTTTCTAAACCAGTTTAAACTGGTTTCTGGAAGATGAAAACAGAACTAGAATGTATGCATAATTCTTTGTAGGAACTTTGATAAACACCTGTGAGTTCTTTCTACTTTTTTTGATCAATTTATTTTTATAGATGAGACAGGGTCTTGCTAATATTTAACTCTATCCTGAAACTCACTGCATTGGCCAGGATGTCATGCAACTCAGTTAAATTCACCTGCCTTTGCCTCGTGACTGCTGCGATTAAAGGCATAAACCTATACACACAGCTTGCCCATTTTTGTAGTTAATAATTGTTCATTCAATTTCTCTGTGTACTTTGATCTCTTTGCTTGCCTCTCTCTTTATGTCTCTTAATAGGCATTTGTCTTGGAAGGCTATATCCTAGACAAAGGGTACAGAAATGACAGAGGTGAACCTCATTGTTCAGTTTTTGTTTTCTAAAATGAGTTGATGATTATAACTTCCATGTCATGGAATAACTGTGTGGAGCCCCCAAATTATATGAATATATGTCTAAGAAGTGTACATTAGTATGCTCTAAGTATCACACTCTCTGTTGTATACATGTATGGTATATTTTAGACTGCAGTGACCTATGATGATGTGCATATCGACTTCACTTGGGAGGAGTGGACTTTGCTGGATCACTCCCAGAAGAATCTCTACAAAGATGTGATGCGAGAGACATACAGGAACCTCACTGCTATAGGTAAGACTGAATTTTCCATCACATTTTCAAATAATGGGAGAACGGTTCCTTAGTCATTGATATACTTTCATAATTTCAGTTGAGAAAGAAGAAGAGTGAGGTGAATAAATCTGGCATGGTTCTAACTTTCACTGAAGATAGTAACCTAAATATTCCACAATTTCCCATAATATATCATACATTTACTGGTATTGTATTTTAGGCTACAGTTGGGAAGACCATAATATTGAAGAACATTGTCAAAGTTCTGGAGGACATGGAAGGTAATTTTCATGTGCAAGCTGATATGAATGTACCTATGGAGAAATTTTAATGTGTCCCAGAAGTTTTAAACAAAAGCAAGAGTGTAAATAAGTACATTTTAAAGTGTACTGATGATTCTTAAATTCTCACAAAACCAAATACCTCAATGTCAGGTAGCTGACATGTGCTTGCAAGGCATTGCTCTAAGAAAGAACACAGGGAAACAATGCTTTAATTGATGTCCCCCTTTGAATTATACCTCCATGATAGCTATGCTGCAGAATAGCCAGTCTGTTTAATTTCATGCCATTTAGATATTGAAAAAGGTATACATGATGAATATGTGGTAAGTATATAACAAAAACCTTCCAATAAGCATGTAGTTCAGAGTGAGCTAGTATTATTCTTATACTTCTAAGTTTAGGGACATAGACTTCTAAGTTCTATGACAGCCAAGAAAGTTGTGGAAAAACTTTAATTGCTATACCATATGTCTATGAAGAACAGAAAGTCAAGCTGTGCAAATGCAGTGGAGACATTTTTCTTGTTAGTTACCTTTATCACTGTATCATATGTCACTCTGGATACAAACCATGTGAACATAGAGATATGGAAAGAAACAACATAACTCTCTCACATAGGAAAATTAGAAGACATGTAGTATTCCCCAATTTGAGTAGAATTTTTGAATGCGATACAAGTTTTAAATTAATTGGTTTTCCATCTTCATTGGGAATACATCAACAAACTCATGCTGCAGAAAAGCCCTATGAGTATTGTTACGTATAAATATGGTTGTCCTAGTTCACTTAGCAAATGGAGTCACACAATTGGAAAATATATGATTGTAATAAGTATGTCAAAGCTCTGCGTTCTTCCAGTTCTCTTCAAATATGTGAAGAATCTCATAGAAAATAAAAGTTACAAATGTGGTCCCTGTAATATAGGCTCTTACAATTACAAATACATTCAAAGACAAAACATCCCTAAATGAAGGGGAACACTATGTGTGTAAACTTATATATCTTATTTGTCTTAAAAATTAGACGAAATTATAAAATGAATTTATAAAAATACAATATTCATCAGTGTAATAAATCTAAGAAAGCTTTTACATGTGCCAATTATCATTACAGGTACAAAAAATGTCACAGAGGAGAGAAACTCTCCAAATATACTCATTGTGCAAAACCATCTTCATATCACAGTCATCTTCAGAAGAATGAAAGTATTCATAATGGAAAGAAACCCTATATTTGTATTCAGTATGGTGAAGGCTTTGCACACAACACTAGTCTCAGAATACATAAAGGAAAACATATTGGAAAGAAAACCAATGAATGTAATCAGTGCAATAATACCTTCACCAGTTATGGTCATCTTCGAATACATAAAAGAACACATACTGGAGATAAACCATATAAATGTAATCAATGTGGTGAAGTAAGTACATGTCTCATTAGTCTTCACAGACATAAAGGAACACATAATGGAGAGAAACCCTATGAATGTAATAGATGTTGTAAAGTCTTTGAATATGCGAGTAATCTGCAAGTACAAGAGAGAACACATAACAGAGAGAAGCCGTACAAGTGTGATCAATGTGATAAAGACTTTTCAATACAGATTACACTTCAAATACATAAAAGAATACATGCTGGGGAGAAACCCTACAAATGTAATCAATGTGATAAAGCCTTTTTACTATGCACTCTTCTCCAAAGACATAAAAGAACACATAGTGGAGAGAAACCCTACAAATGTAATCAATGTGATAAAGCATTTTCACGCACCAGCCATCTCCAAAGACATAAAAGAACACATACTGGAGAGAAACCCTACAAATGTAATCAATGTGGTAAAGTTTTTTCACAAAACTTTAATCTCCAAGTACATAAGAGAACACATTCTGGGGAAAAACCCTACAAATGTAATCAATGTGATAAAGCGTTTTCACGAGTCAGTCATCTCCAAAGACATAAAAGAACACATACTGGAGAGAAACCCTACAAATGTAATCAGTGTGACAAAGTCTTTTCACAAAACTTTAATCTCCAAGTACATAAAACAACACATTCTGGGGAAAAATCCTACAAATGTAATCAATGTGATAAAGCCTTTTCACTACACAGACATCTCCTACAGCATAAAAGAATACATAATGGTGAGAAACCCTACAAATGTAATCAATGTGATAAAGCCTTTGTATGTGTGAGTACTCTCCAAATACATAAAAGAACACATACTGGAGAGAAACCCTACAAATGTAATCAATGTGAGAAAGCTTTTTCACAACACAATAGTCTCCAAATACATAGAAGAACACATACTGGAGAGAAACCCTACAAATGCAATCAATGTGAGAAAGCCTTTTCACAACACAATAGTCTCCAAATACATGAAAGAACACATTCTGGAGAGAAGCCCTACAAATGCAATCAATGTGATAAAGCCTTTTCAGGACACAGTAATCTTCAAATGCATAAAAGATGTCATTCTAGGGAGAAACCCTACAAATGCAATCAATGTGAGAAAGCCTTTTCACAACACAATAATCTCCAAATACATAGAAGAACACATTCTGGAGAGAAACCCTACAAATGTAATCAATGTGAGAAAGCCTTTTCACAACACAAAAGTCTCCAAATACATAGAAGAACACATACTGGAGAGAAACCCTACAAATGCAGTCAATGTGATAAAGCCTTTTCAGGACTCAGTAATCTTCACACGCATAAAAGGACACATTCTGGAGAGAAACCCTATGAATGCAAACAATGTGGTAAAGCCTTTTCACGACACAGTCTCCTCCAAATACATGAAAGAATACATAATGGAGAGAAACCCTACAAATATAATCAATGTAATAAAGCCTTTGCATATGCCAGTAATCTCAGAGTACATGAAAGAACACATACAGGAGAGAAACCCTACAAATGTAATCAATGTGATAAAGCCTTTTCACTACACAGTCTTCTTCGAAGGCATGAAAGAACACATACTGGAGAGAAACCCTACAAATGTAATGAATGTGATAAAGCCTTTACATACGCCTTTAATCTCAGAGCACATAAAAGAACACATACTGGTGAGAAGCCATACAAATGTAGTCAGTGTGGTAAAGCCTTTTCACGACACAGCCATCTCCAAATACATAGAAGAACACATACTGGAGAGAAACCCTACAAATGCAATCAATGTGATAAAGCCTTTTCACAACACAGTCTTCTCCAAAGACATAAAAGAACACATACTGCAGAGAAACCCTTCAAATGTCATCAACGTGATAAAGTCTTTTCAGGACCCACTAATCTCCAAATGCATAAAGGAACACATGCTGGAGAGAAGCCCTACAAATGTAATCAATGTGATAAAGCCTTTTCACGAGTCAGTCGTCTCAAAATACATAAAAGAACACATACTGGAGAGAAACCATATGAATGTAATCAATGTGGTAAAGCCTTTGTATGTGTAAGTACTCTCCAAATACATAAAAGAACACATACTGGAGAGAAACCCTACAAATGTACTCAGTGTGACAAAGCCTTCTCCCGACAATGTTATCTCCAAGTGCATGAAAGAACACATTCTGGAGAGAAACCCTACAAATGCAATCAATGTGATAAAGTCTTTTCCCGACAAAGTTATCTCCAAGTACATAAAAGAACACATACTGGAGAGAAACCCTACAAATGTAATCAATGTGATAAAGTCTTTTCACGACACAGTAATCTCCAAGTACATAAAAGAACACATAATGGAGAAAAACCCTACAAATGTAATCAATGTGGTAAGGACTTTTCACAAAAAGGTCATCTCCAAATACATGAAAGAACACATACTGGAGAGAAACCCTACAAATGTAATCAATGTAATAAAGACTTTTCACGACACGGTCATCTCAAAATTCATGAAAGAACACATACTGGAGAGAAACCCTATGAATGTAATCAATGTGGTAAAGCCTTTTCATGTTCCAGTAGTCTGCGAATACATGAAAGAACACACACTGGAGAGAAACCCTACAAATGTAATCTATGTGATAAAGCCTTTTTACTACACAGTCATCTCCAAAGGCATGAAAGAACTCATACAGGAGAGAAACCCTATGAATGTAATCAATGTGGGAAAGCCTTTGCCTGTGCCAGTAGTCTCCAAATACATAAAAGAACACATTCTGGGGAGAGACCCCTTAATTGTAATCAATGTGGTAAAGCCTTTGCATGTCCTAGTAGTCTCCGAATACATAGAAGAACACATTCTAAATAGAATCCCTGTGAATACAATTATTGTGGTAAAATGCTTTTAAGACACAAGACATCTCTGAACACATAGAAGAACACATACTGGAGAGAAACCCTATGAATGTCATCAATGTGGTAAAGCCTTTGCATGAATCAGCAGTTTGAAATCATGAGAAAATAATGCAGAGAAACCCTATAAATGTAAAGTTTTGCACTTCATGGTAGTCTTTATACAAGAGTAAGACTTTTAGTGTATAATTGGTCTCTTAAAGTCTTTGCATTTTACAGTAGTCTTTGAGGGGCCTGACAAAATTAATACTGAAGGAAAGGCCATAAAGGGTTTGGTAAAATCTTTCATTTGGACAAAAGACCTGTAAATTTAAATGATGAGGTTTCCATTTTCTATTCCACAGTTCTCTTCAATTACATGCAATAAGGCATCCAGGTGTAACACTTACTGGATGTGTAGTAGTATTTCCTTGTCTATTGCTGTGACAAAACATGATATCTAAGTCTACTCATGAAAGAGTTGTCCCTTGGGTCCAGAAGGGTACAGAATCACAATGGAAGTGGCATGGCAACAAGTTTCAAACACGGCAGCTGCAGCAGAATGCTAAGAACTGTCATCTTTCACCTACAACATGAAGGTGAAACTAAAACTGGAAATGGTGTGTGGATGTGAATTCTCATGCTCACCCCCAGGGACTTAATTCTTCCAGCAGGGCATGCATTACCCAAATCTTTCCAAATGATACCACCAACTGAGCAAGAATGATTTCTCTGACTGCATGCCTACATGCTGGCTCTGTTTGCTTTCTGTTACATAAATCAGTTCATGATGAAGAAAACTCTGTAAGTAAGCCTTTTGATACTTCAACACCTGGGTTACAGGAATAAATCCTTAAGAGAGAAAAACATTCTTGAGTGAAAATCTCACTGTTAAAAATTTGTTTTAATTGTGTGATCTCAGTGTGTCTTTACTGTGTGCATGGTGATTCACCAAAAGTGTATACCCTTGGCTCTCCCTTTAGCTGGAATTACGGAAACGTGTTAAAAACCTGACCTTTTTCCTGGGAATGAACTTCTCATAACTACTTGGCCATGTCTCTCAGCCTGTAGATATTTAAAAGCCTTTATATTTCATCTTGATGTCAGGAAATAGGAAATAATTCCTACAAGAGAAAAACCCTACTCAGGTAAATGATTTGTTAGAGACTTGACATCACAGTTTTCTTCAATTTCAAGAAAACAATCTTGTTTCATTTCTTTTTCATCGTATCCTTCAAGAAAGCATATAATATTTAACATGTTCACTCAAGACAGATTGTGGAGAGCACTGCATTGTTGTTTCTATTTTTGCAACATTTGAGTTATGTACTAAAGTGTGCTATAAGTGTGGCAAATCCATTTAGTGAAGTTTATATTTTTGTCCTGTTATTCTTTCTTTGACTTCTGTTTACCTTTTGTTGTGCTTTCACTTAGTAATAGGTATTTTTCTACTGCAATGTATAGAATGGGATGCCCATCTTCTAAGTGGTCCATTGTTTATTTAAATATCTGGAAGTTTGTGATCATCCTTTTCAAGTAAGAGTCCTTGTGAAAGGGTGGTAAATTGTTCTGTTTTTCATATTTTCATAAATTCCCTTGAAGTTGTTTATTATCAGCCTGGCTTCAATGTCAGTAAATAGTCAGGGATACATTTGTACTCGTGATACTTGTGTCACTCTGCTGAGTACAAGTCCAACAATAGATGATATACCCCAATGTATGCTGTTTTGTTACCATGTTTTAGCATTAATGTTATAATGTTTAAATAAAAGTATAAGAAACATTAAATACTTCATATGTATCCAAAGCTGTATATTCATATATCTGGTAGAAATGTAATAATGTAGCATAATCAGCAATCAACTGTGCATTTCACACCATAGCTTCATGTGCTATGGATATGTATATATTATTTGACATTCCAAGTGTCTTCATGCCCCCATTAGTTATCCATTTGAGACTTCATCTATAACTACTGTGTTCTAAGGGAATTATCCAGAGATGCCAAATAATGTACTGAAAAAAATTCTGGTGTGTGTGTGTGTGTGTGTGTGTGTGTGTGTGTGTGTGTGAGAGAGAGAGAGAGAGAGAGAGAGAGAGAGAGAGAGAGATGATTATGGTTTTTTGAGCCATGACACATATGTCTAGTCTGAAGAAAAATTTGCAGAGTCTCCTTTTTTTCCTTATTTATATGGTGATAAGATGAGTTTGCCAATCTCATACACCACAGACCATTCCCACTGAGACATCACTGATTCTCAAATAAGATTAGTTAAAGTGTGATACAGCTAAAATGTTGTCTTCTTTTCATGTTGTAAACATACTTTCATCCAAAGATAATGGAAAACAGCACCATCTGAATAATAAATCTAATTTGCAAATGAAAATGATATACAGCTGTCACTACTTTTGCAATGTATTGGTTTATTCTGAGGACTAAACACTTTCATAACACTTTCTCAGAACCACAAATGAATGCCAATTATCTCACTTGGTAAAGCTGGTTTTTGTTTAAACAAATAATACTACTTAAACACATAATATCCCAAGATATTTTTCTCTTATTCCTTCATTTGTCCTGTGGCATATGCACACACCCACACCAGCACATACATGAATAATTTTAAACCCTAGTAAGTGCCATTGAGGTCACTTGCAGCAAACAATACCATGGATTTCATCTCTAAAATTCACATAAGATAAGTAGATAATAGACACCTTTGAGTACAATGTCCTCTCATTGCCATATACACAACATGCTGCAGGTAAAAACACAAACACAGTTGAGCATTTTTAAGTGTATAAAATTAAATATTTAAAAAAAACCCAATTATTGAGAACATATCTGAGTCAATTTAAAAACATCTCAGTTGGGCTTAGAGGTGTATGCTATAATCCCAGCACTTTTAAGAAAATGGCAGAAAAATCTCTCTGAGGTCAAGTTTGTTCTCATAATGAGTTGCAGGACAGGCTTAACAGATTCCATATCTAAAATTATGAATGTTTTTCTAATATATTGTAACTGGAAACCTTTGACAACCATCTAGTGGAGAGTTTTATCACATTCAAGTGATAGGAGTAATGGTGTACTCCAGAGCTCAGTAGTATTCTTAGCACCTATATCAGATAGCACAGAAGTACCTATAATTCCAATTTCAGGACATCTGATGCCTCATCTGCCTCCTGGGCACCAGATATGCAAATGGTGAAAAGGCAGATATATTTGGGATCCCAGATCATTAAAAAGGTTTTCTTCATGTATATATTATTGAAAAAACAATTTAAAGTAATTTAGGTGTATAAACATTTTCTCTCTGTGTGTGTGTGTGTGTGTGTGTGTGTGTGTGTGTGTATATATATATATATATATATATATATATATATATATATCATATTTGATATATATATACACCAAATGCATGTCAGGTAGAAGGGAGACCAGAAGATGGTGGCAAATCCTCCATGTTTGAAGTTACAGAGAGTTGTGAGCTGTCCTTTGGCTGCTGGGAATCACAGGCAGGCCCTTTGGATGAGCAACCATTGCTCTTAGTTGTTGATCCACCTACTCAGCCCCATGAATATGACATTAACAGCATTAAGGTGAGAATGGCTGACCCTAAGCTCATCTTTACCTCAGCCTGATAATCCAGAAGAAATCAAAGATTGATAGCATCAGAAACTAGCTTAGACTTTTGTGCTTAAAATGTTTTCAAACCGAAATCTTTAGTAGAATATTACTATTTTAAGGTGTGTTACTTTTGTTTATGTTCTATGTGATTAATTCTGAAGCTGTGTTACTGTGCTTATCTAAAATAACTGATGGTCTAATAAAGACCTGAATGGCCAATTAGCAAGGCAGCAGAAAATATAGGTGTGTCTAGCAGGCAGAGAATATATCCAGGGAGAAATCTGGGAGGAGAGTTTAAGGAGCCAGAGAAGGAGGAGGACTCCAGGGAACAGCCACCCAGCTACATAGAAAGCCATGGAGTACGACTTACAGAAGTAAGAAAATGGGAAAAGCCTAGAGGCAAAAGGAGGGATGAATAATCTAAAGTGAAGCAAAGCTGGCTAGAAAGTAAGCCAAGCTAATGCCAGACATTCATAGTTAAGAATAAGCCTCTGTGTGTGATTTACTTGGCAGCTGGGTGGTGGGCCTCCCCCAAAAGAGTTAAAAAAGAAATGTTAAAACACAAATCTACACAAAATGCAGGAAGAGTACAAAAAATTATCAGGATAGACACTGTCAAGATAAGTTATTAAAAAGTGACTGACTGCTTGACCAAAGCAACAATACTGAGTTCATCTGAAATGTGGTAAATAGGCAGCCATGGGAGCCCACAAGGACACAGGTCAGCTGTACCCAGCTGGAGTTTATGCCTCCTGTAAGGAGAAAAATGGGGGCATGGAGATCAACTTGTCTCAATGGCATCATATTCTGCTTCCTTAATGCCTTCAAAAGCTTCAGTTAGTGCCCGTGAGTGATGGTGATTCCAGATGATCAGGAGATCCTGAGGCTTAAGCAGAAGTCACTCTAAGGTTGGGGCAATCAGGCACTTACAAAGAGATGTGGGGTATGGATGAACTGTTAGGGATGGAGTTCTGGATGTGAGAGCCAGAGGATCAAATGACCAGAGGGCAATAATCAGGGTGTACCCGAGGACAAGCTGGCTCCTCCTGTGCTCTCTGTATCTACCCAGCTGTGGTGGGTTAGCCACCTTCAGCTTTCACCTCTTTCATTAGTCTTGGCAGCTACATCTTAGCTGCCAGTGACAGTACTGTGCATGCTTCCACACAATGGTCCCCACCCCATCATCATCCCTCTCACCTGACTGACCGACAGGAGTACAGACATTCTAAAGAGACATGTATGTCTCTCTCTTTGGCTAACAATTAGGCAAACAGTAGACTGAATGAAATTCAAATTTCCCTTGCAATCACATTCTGGGAATAAATAGTCCTGCCAAGGAAAATGTTTCTGCTGAAGAATTATATGCATCCTACCTTAACAAATACTTTGCAGGAGACAGAGGAGCAGAGAATGGGGGAGGGTTTAGGTGATGGGTAGAAATTCATTATATGACTTGGGTAGCTTAGTTACTTGGATGGCAAGAAGAGTTAACTTCTATTTTCATCCTTGTTCCAATTTAATCACATTGAACACATATCATGTTTTTGATTTTTATAATGAATTTTTTTTCTTTCCTATCATTCTCTTTTAAATTTTTTTATTTTAAGAATAGTCTCACTATGACTCTCTTGCTGGCCTGAAACTCAATAAATAGACTAGGCTTTTCCAAAACAGAGAGATTTATCCACCTTGTCTGCAGAGCACCTGTATTATAGCACATCACAGTGAACTAATTTGGCTCTTTTAATTCACTTATTGAGGAGAGTAACTGAGCCTGGCTGATTAAGTGTAGGCGGAACACAGGCTCTGGTCCTAACTCCTGTAAAAGAAGAAGGGTCCCATCAGCCCTCCTGTCTTACAGTCCGCTGTCTTCCAATTGTGAGCAGTACTGTCTTTCTTTATCATTGAGTCTGGTATAATGTATCAAAAGACCTGAACAGAGTTCTGTCCTTATTCTATATATATTGAAACTCAGGCTCACAGAAATAAGTGGTTTTGAATATAGTTAAGTCTAACTGCTCATTGTCCTCAAACCCCTATTTTAATGACTCACTAAATGAAGTTGAAAAGCAGCCACCTGAGCCAGGCATTGTGGCACAAGACGATAATCATACCACTCTGAAAGTTGAGGCAGGAGTTTCAGGTTTCAAAGTCATCCAAGTTGAGAGTGGCCATTTGTGGGGAGACCCACAAAGTTAAGGGAGACTGGGATTGGCCCAGGTCAATGTCCTTAGTCTTCCCAGAAGCTACAGGACTTCAGGGAATATGGCATGAGCATGTGTTAGCTCTGGGCCTCAGGCTGTCTTCTGTCCCCTCATCAGGGGCATTATCCTGTCTGCAGCCTACAAAACCAGTTTAGGAGCCCTGGAGTGTGGCAGTCCCACTCCTCTTGAATTCCAAGCTAACACTCCTCTTGTATTCCACATCAACAGCATTTGTACCGAGTAGGGGCATGTTATCTCAGTGTATGTGCATGGGGCTTGGGAAGGACATAAATACCCCGAGCAGCCCATTATCTAGGATGGTTGTTCATCTGCCTCTTCCCCACTCACGTCTTAGAGGCCTAGTCACAGTGCCAGGGGAGAGTGTTGCAGGTCCAATTAAAGTGATGTGTCCTAGCTCACATGATGGCAAGCAGTCCCTGTTTACCTGGAACAGACACTGAGGCTTGGGGCCAGGTTTGTGTAGCTGAGGGGCTGGTAGTGGGAAAGCATCATTGGCTCAAGACTCCATGGGCTGGACATCTGCTCCCTGCTCTCTGGGTCACACAGGTCTTTCAACTCTCCCTTCCCATGTCCTTCAGCTGTCTTTATTTCCTCTTTGTTTCTCCCTGTCCAGTGCAATCGATGTCTCCTCAAATTCAGTAAGCTGTCAGGATAAAACAGAACCAGCAGGTAGTGCATGTCGGATGAAGGAGTAGAGGCTACCTGGTTTGCACTCTGTGGCTAGAATCCAGACCTATGTGAAAGTTGCTGGGATTCTCCCATTTCAGCCTCTGGACTACCAGTTGTTTTTTTTATACACATGGGCCACCATGCCTGGCCAAAGGAATATTGTCGTCAACAAAATTAAGGCTTCCTTTGGCTTATAAGTGAACAAATAACTGAGAGATTATGATATTTGCCAATTATAACTCAGAACTCAGAGCAGCTCATTTCACATAGCCAAATATGTATGATAAAATAAGTATTCATAAAATTCTACCCTAGGTGTGCAATTAAGGGAAAACATGATGAATTTTTGGTTTATATTTCATTATAATCTGAAATCTGTTTCACAATTTATTTCTTTGGTTTCATCTAATATGTATTTTTCATTGACTCTGGTATTGGATAGGAGAGTCACCTTACAATGAGGCAAGATTCTTTGTTTGCAGGACACTGTCTAGAATTCACACCTGCTTCACAGATGATGTACTAGACCCAGCTTCCTAAGTGGCTGCAGTTACAGGCATGAACCACTGTTCCCAATTGCAAATTAACATTTGCATTGGCAACATCTCATAGTTCCCATTTAGAATGGTACAGAGTGGCTTATTTTCTATCATAGGCTAAATGTTAATTTTACATTCTGATAGAGGTTCACATTAGTGGTGACAAATATACAAATATAAAATTAGTGTTTCACCATTTTCTTTGAAACTTTAGTTTGGCATGTATAGAAGAGAAAATAATGCCTATGGCCTAGACACACCCTGGGTATATGCCATGTAGCCTCTTAGAATGCTTGGAACAGAATTGAAGAAATCAGAAGGAGATCTGA